GATCTGGGGGATTTGGGATCTGGGGGGTTTGGGGGATTTGGGATCTGGGGGATCTGGGGGATCTCAGGAATTTGAGGGATCTGGGGGACTTGGGGGATCTGGGAGATTTGGGCGATTTGAGAGATTTGGGATCTGGAGGATTTGAGGGATCTGCAGGATCTGGGGTATTTGTGGGATCTGGCCCTGGGTGGAAATCAGGGGCTGGAACCCCCCAGACCTGCGGGAAGCGGCGCTGCCGTCACCACTTCTGCTTTCCCAGGCCCTGCTTTCCCAGGCCCGGCTTTCCCAGGCCCTGCTTTGCCAGGCCCTGCTTTGCCAGGCCCTGCTTTGCCAGGCTCGGCTTTGCCAGGCCCAGCTTTGCCAGGCTCAGCTTTGCCAGGCCCTGCTTTGCCAGGCTCGGCTTTGCCAGGCTCAGCTTTCCCAGGCCCTGCTTTGCCAGGCCCTGCTTTGCCAGGCTCGGCTTTGCCAGGCTCGGCTTTGCCAGGCTCGGCTTTTCCAGGCCCTGCTTTGCCAGGCTCGGCTTTCCCAGGCCCAGCTTTGCCAGGCTCAGCTTTGCCAGGCCCTGCTTTGCCAGGCCCAGCTTTGCCAGGCTCAGCTTTCCCAGGCCCTGCTTTGCCAGGCTCGGCTTTGCCAGGCTTGGCTTTGCCAGGCTCAGATTTCCCAAGCAAATTCCTTCCAAATGCTGCCCCAAATCACCTGAAATCGCCCCAAATCCCACAGAATATCCAAAATGCTCATTCCTGATTTCTGATGCCATTCCCGAAGGAATTGAGGGAACAGGATCATCCTGGAGGAGCCTGAGCCTCTCCTCTGTGTCTCAATCCCGATTTTTCCCCTGAGGAGGAATTCTCCTCATGTTTTTGATGGAAATTCAGTTTTCCCACCAAAAGTGGTTATTCCTGATTTATGACATGGTCATTTCCCATTTCTGGATGTGTTTTCCCAAAGGAATTGAGGGAACAGGATTATCTTGGAGGAGGCTGAGCCTTTCCCTGAGGCTCTGACTTTTCCCCTCAGCAGGAACACTCCCAGCAGGAGCCACATTTGTGAGGGGAAATTCAATTTCCCACCAAAAATTATCATTCCTGGTTTATCAGAATGTTCATTTCTGGTTTCTGGATGCCATTCCCAAAGGAATTGAGGGAACAGGAGCATCTTGGAGGAGGCTGAGCCTCTTCCCTGAGGCTCAATCCTGATTTTTCTCCTGGCAGGAGCCACATTTGTGAGGAAAAATTCAATTTTCCCACCAAAAATGATTATTCCTGGTTGATCCCTGAAAGAATTGAGGGAACAGGATTATCTTGGATGAGGCTGAGCCTTTCCCCAAGGTTTTAATCCCATTTTCCCCCAGGAGGAGCATTCCCGGCGGGAGCCACATTTGTGAGGAAAAAATTCCATTTCCCACCAAAATTGATTATTCCAGTTTTATAAAAAGCTCACTCCTGGTTGATCCCTGAAGGAGCTGAGGGGACAGGGGCTCTGTGGATGAGGCTGAGCCTTTCCCCAGGGTTTCAATCCCAATTTTTTCCCCAGGAGGAGCGTTCCCGGCGGGAGCGCGTGCGCCAGTCCCGCATGGACACTGACCTGGAGTCGCTGGACCTGGAGCAGGGGGCCGAGGT